ATAGGTGAAATGAAATAACCATATGAGGGGACGCATATCACTAATTACTTATGGCCACCCATGAATCTTCAAGTAAGTAAGGTAACTATACTCAAAAACCATTTAAGGATAATTTATCGCTCTACGTCTAACTACCCATGAACCTCAATGTAGGGTCAGAATATTTACCTAGCGACTGTATCGGGCCATACCTACTGTTCAGACCATAACAGACACTCCAAATATCAGAAGCCAATAGGTTCTCGGGCGAAGGAGAGTTTTGGGGCTTACATATAGGGGTTAGGGTGTGGGGGGCTTAGAGAATCATATCGTGAGACTTAGGAACTATAGGGTTAATAACAGCTCGATGAGGGTTTAGGAATTGAGGTTTCAAAGTTTCGGTTGTGCTTTAGGGCTCATGGGACTCAGTCAAGCTTATCAATACGGTGGCTCAACATATGATTCATTATGAACCCAACGAGCGCACTCAGGATTTGAGGTAAATTCTGCTATAATGATATGGGGACTAGAAACGGATACTTTCACCAAGTATTCCGACTTCTCTATTGACTAAACCTATATACGAAGTAAGTAACAATTACAACACATGCCCCAAAACTGTGTTGTAACTACCAACGCCCATCCCTGCCATGTTGAAGATCCATGTAGCTGGATGCTAGCCAATTAAAGACACCTGGACACAGCGAGCACACCACCACAACAAGCACGGCAACTCGAACCTGTATCAGTGCGGTGGGCGATCAGGAGGGAGCTGTCGAAAGGCCACAAAGGGCCACGCAAACACTAACAGACTAACAGTTCACGACTCTAGACAAAGTCATCGGCAGTGGTGCGTTCGCATCCACCGGCCAAATTCGCAGCACGTGCAAACTCCCCGGCGATAGCTCGAGTCTTGTCTCCGAGCCGCCGTTTGTTTGTCGATCTTATGGCATAAAACATACTAGAATGTAGTATAATTAATATACTTATCATACTATACTATCCTATACCATAGCATAACAGACTATTATAAACCATAAAACACTATCGTATACAATATGTTTGAGCATGAAAGCTTCGCACAGGCCAGGAAACTACAGGTTGGAACAGAACGCGAGGCTCGGTGAGCCGATGTCACCGACCTGGTTTAGGGTTTAACCGTTTCGGGGTCGCAGCTTTAAAGGTTGGGGGTTAAAGGGTTTAACAATTAACCGTTCGGAGGTCGCAACTTTAAAGGTTGGGGTCTAAGGTTCTTTTTTTGAAGGAAGCGTTGGTTTAAGGGCTTAGGGTTTAGGGTTTAACCGTTTCGGGGTCGCAACTTTAAAGGTTGGGGGTTTCAGGGTTTAGGGTTCAAGGGGCTCGAATGGCCCAAAAAGGAACCATGCTGAATCCTCTAGAGCGGCGCCTCAGCAAGCGGAAGCTCGAAAACTGATTGTAGCCCTTTTGCCACTATTGCCAGTTCACGGTGCCCATCTCCTTACGATGGTCCGGAGCGTCCGCGGCCTCGGCGGGGAGGTTCAATACAGGGGCCTCAATAATTAGCATAAGGCTTTGGGGCCCATGATTCTATATTTATCATAAGGAACCCCCAATATAGTACAGGCAATTATTAAGGCCCCTATATTAGGGTGGTCTGGAGCTTGGGGCGTTTGGGGTTCCCTAGGAGCCAGCTCTCGTGTTCAAGACCCAAACTCCGCAAGGCTGGCATTGGCCCAGCGGCAGCCTCGTGCGCGGCACTGTTGCTTGCCGGTTCCTCCTGAATGGGCTGCCTCTGTGGATAGCGGCGATGATTGCGGTTTCCTCGGCCCCTTGCCCGACGCTGGACATAGGCGGAATTGGCATGTTCATCTTAGCTGCCCAGCTCAAGCCCGCGAAGTTTCAGTTTTGAAGAGGGCTAGACTGTCCCCGAAGTTGAAACCCTAAGCCCCAAACCCACAAGGTTTAAAGAACAGAAACTCAGCTACTGTTGTTGTCCTATACTATCCCTAAACCCTAAATCGAATGCCTTTCGTCAAAGTCTCCCCACTCGCCCCAGGACTGGCCCCACCAGCCGCCGGCCCAGGCATGCTCCCAGTTCCAAGGATCAGGTCCCCACCTCGGCATTCGGTGTAGGGTTTACGATTTAGGGATAGTGTAGTGTAGAGTAGTATAACATACGACGTATATTACAGTATACCATGATAGCACGGGACACTATCGTGTTGCGTGGTATAACATAGTATCGTATAGTATAACATAATACCAATATGCTCCCCCCACCGCCCTACCTGCCTCGCCAGCTAACTATCTATTCAGCTCTCGATCCACCCATCTATCTGTCTATCTACCTATGACGGTATGTAGTATATCGTATGCAATAACCCGTGTACACTTTATGAATACGTAATGCATTTGCAAAGACAGGCTTCATTGTGACTGCATCATACAATTTAGAACCATAAATGATAAGATCATATGAGATAAGGTGGTAAAATTCGTACAACGATACATTATCCCCAAAAACATCACAGGATTTCAATAAGAGATGTTCAAGTGAGAACTATAATTAAGTTTTACTACATATGTCACATTACATAATGTAATATGATAGAAAACAGGGCAGTACAATGGAAGAGAATAGAATAACGTTAATCGAAAATCACATAGTGTATAGCAGAAGACATAGAATACATACGTAGTGTATTAACCTTGCTGAACATGTTTCGTAGCTGCCATATACATATGTGTATATGACAGTTACATGTGAGCATACTGCCTTGTAATACCAGCTACCTAACACAAAGCCAGCACACGAACATACATACATACATACATACATACATACATACATACATACATACATATATATATATATATATATACATATATCTCCGTATATATATATATTACACGTAATATACATATATGTAGCATTCAAAATGTGCTGTGTGCTATCGGAAATACTAGATACGATAAGATATGACATGGTATGATGCGATCTTGTATGATATGACATGATCTGATATGACGTGCATACATGCAAGTAGAAAGGGCAAAGAACTGGCTTTTTCGACAAGTATGTGAAGCATGGAATTCTGCATTGCATGCACCAATTATATGATATATAGAACATACAGCGCGAAACACAGAATACGTAGCATGCTGTAAAGAGAACAGCTGGCTAATATTCAACATGTAGTGTGAAAGCATGATCATGACAAAGCAATGTCAGGCATACAGCATGCGATACAGATCTGAAGAAGCCTGGATATGTGCATATGTGCATCATATACTGTGTGTCCAACCTTTTTGTAGTTCACTCTATATATATATATGTATGTATGTATGTATGTAAATGTATATGTATATGTATATGCATATGTATAATATACACGAATGTAAACTTGCATACATGCATACATACGTATATGTATACAGAGATATTAAAGTTTAAGTCGAACAAAAAAGTTCACGGTGTTAAGTACATTGAGTACAGAATACATAACAGCTGAGCATGACACATAATACAGAGTGCATACTAGAACCGGTATGGCATTTCATACTGACGTGGCACTGTGAAACTTGAACCGTTTGATATATGGCACAAGTACCCCAACGTTTATACATCATAATTAAAACACTATATATGTAAGGATGTGTTGCATGTAATAACTACCTAACCGCTTTCCGCATGAAGTATGCATCTAATACTATATATATATATATGCATGCATATACATATATGTATGCATATAATATAATATAATATAATATAATATAATATAATATAATATAATATAATATAATATAATATAATTATATATATATATATATGCATATATAACTTTGTGCTCATATATGTTTATCTGCTACATGACAAACAATAAACAATATGTGAGATGTGAGAACTACAGAACATACATGAATAAGCGTAGTACATAACATCAATGAAAGCATGGACTCTACACACACACATCGATATGATAGATGTACATATCTTCACTAGCTGCACTATTGTATAGACCATATCAAAGGAAGACAAGATGTGAACAACGCCATATAGCATAATGTAACAGTATACCACGGCATTATAATAACAACGGTCAAATTGCAACAGGCCATAATGCAGCCTGATGTATCATGCGAAGGAAACATTTCACGACGGTATGAAGCTTTCTGGTTTTCAATCCATGTAAACAAAGTATAATAGGGTATACGAAACGATAGTGAGGCTTACTAGGGTAGAATAGACTACACTACAACATAACATAGGGGAGTGTGGCAGAGTGCAGTGACTCATGGTCCGGAAAGATAGCGTAGTTTAGTAGAACACAGTACACTGTCAGATCATGTCAGATCAAGTCAAACAGACACAACCATGAAGCAAGCGACAGACATGTGCAGTAACACTCATCAACACGAATACTGACATCATGCAGAGCGAAGTGTGGACATGCACAATTGCAGGCGCATGCTTCGTTGATTTTCGCCAAGACACCATCCTGCTTCGTAACGGCCATGCCGCTGATGGTTCTGCTGGTGTTGCTCCTTCTTCTTTTTGCCTTTTCCTTTGCTCTCGACCTTGCCTGTGCCCTTGCCTCGGGTCTCGATGCTGCTAGCGCTTGTTCGACGGCTTTGGCATCCGGAGCTCTGCAGCTCGGCCTCTGTGTCCAGAACATGTTCGCTCGGCTGGGCAGGGCTGGCTGGGGATGGCTTTTCTGGAGGCGGAATCGGGTCGCTTGGGAGCGATACTGTCGAGGAGGCTTGGGCCTGGAGCTCTTGCGGATGAGAAAGTTGTTGAGGTGTCGGCTGCAACTGCTGGAGCTGTAGCGGTTGAACGGCCGGAGCTGCAAACTGTGGGGGTGGCGGTGTTGCTGTGCTGACGGGTGCAGCGTGCAAGGTGTTGATCACGGGGCTTGCTTTGAGCAGAACGCTCTGCATGACGGGGAGCCCGTGTTGCATGGGGAGGGCTTGGCATTTTGAGGTGTGAGGAGGCTGGGAAGGCTGGGAAGGCTTGGCTGGGTGAAGCAATCGCTGGCACACTGCATTGGACACGGCAGGAATGTCTGTGCCATGCGCTGCCATTGAGATGTCCTGCGCAAGGAGAGGCGCCAAGTACGGCGCAAACTTCATAACATCTTGCATCATGTAGACGTCGTCTAAAGCGCGATGTGCTTGGAGGTCGCGTGCTTTGTGCTGCTCTGGCACCCAGTTTGCATACATTTGCTTCAGGGTCAAATTGCCAGGCCGGCCATAGACCTGATGCACATCGCTGTAATTGAACCTCTTCTTCCTGAGTCTCGGATCGCGAAAAACTCAACACTGAGCGCTTTTTGGAAAAAAAACAGAAGGCTATGCAAGGCACACAACGTTCAACACCTTGCGAGACTTCCCGTGAAAGCCAACCCAGGCTTTCAAGATCCGTGTGACATTAAGACACTTACGACAGATCTGTGTCGGACTACAGGTTGTGGATGAAGTTCTTGGCGGGGCCAAGGATCTTCAGCACACCTTGTCATCTACATGCTTGAGCAACTTTGGAGGTCAAAGGCGTATGCCTTGGATATGCATACTTATCGGACTCAAGGAGGCATACATGTAAACAACCATCCATCCATCCATCCATCCATCCGTCCATCCATCCGTCCATCCACATGAGTTGCCTTCAACAGTACGTCGCATGTGCGTGTTGAGAAATGTCCACCACCGTGCTTTGTTCGTCATCACTCATGAGCACAAACATGTCGCGTCTCAACAGCAATGGGTAATCGAGACATAGCCTTGGGAAACACAACAGCTCCTACTTTGGAAATCGAAGCCCCTAAACCCTAAACCCCTAAACCCTTGGAAATCGAAGCCCGGCTTCAGTGTGGCCACCGTGTCAGCAGAGACCAGGCGTGGGCAGCAGCGCATGTCCAGGCCGAGCCGTGCGATCTCTTTGCTCCTGGGCTTTTAAGTAAACAGGGAGAAAAACGTGTGAACTGTTATTTCATAATGGTTCCATGAAGAAAAAAAGTGTTAAAGTATGGTACTCCAAAGCCCAGGCTCAGCACGTAATGATCGAACCTGTCCCCATTGTGGGCTATCAATACCTGGGTTGTAGGTTCAGGGGCCTGTATATACATGTTTTTCTGAACAGGTACCTCTGTCGCAACCATACGGGAAACTTCAAAATGTTTCCCAAAGTGCCACCAAAATACTACTTTGCCTGTTAAGCCAGCAGCCCTTTGGAGAAAGGGCAGCACATCCGTTGGCCAGAGCTGCGCAAAGAGAGGAAGCCGTGCATCACACACCAATGCCTTGTGGCCGCTATCTTCGGCAAACATCCTCGGTTGTACTTTCACGGCTCCCAAGAGTATTGATGAAAAGGTACCTCTACAGAACCAGGAAAGAAAGGGAATTTAAAAACGTGTCCACCCAGAGGCCCCATAGTAGCTCCTTCTTGGGAATACCCTTATAGGATTCTATATACGAACCCCAAAAAGGGGACTACTTTGGGTCCTTAGGGCAAAAGCTCCACCTAGCATCCTTGTGGCCGGGGACTTCACGTCCTCCCAGTGGAAGTCGGGTCGGCTGCGCAGGTTTAGCGACTCACCAGTCACCAGATTCACAGCCGCCAGCTCCTCGTTCTATGGTTGAAACAGACTTTAGGGGTTTAGGCTTTAGGGCTTAGGGATTTGGGGTTTACTTGAATTCCTTCTTGGGTTCGACGAGCCCATAAACATGCAACACATGTGAGTAATTGTCAAAATTATGGTCCCTTTCTGGGTACCCTAAATGGGACCTAATTTTGACAACTGCCTATGTAAAAGGTCACCAACAGCTATGACAAAGGCGCGATGATCTGACACCGGGCCTTCCAAGCCCACTGGTCCGCCGTCTCGTGCCAGTTCATCGCAGCATAGCCTCGGTTTTTTGTCTATAGGGTTTAAGGTTTATAGGGCTAATAGGGCCTAGGTTTACGGCTTATGGGGTTTAGGGTTTCAGGGCTTAGGGTTTACGGGTTAGAGGTTTAGGGTTAATCGGTTTCGCGTTCAGGGTTTAGTGTTTATAGGATTTGGGCTTAGGGGTGCCGATTCATGGCAGCACAGCCTAGGCTGTTGCGGGGAAAGCGGCTGCACATCTCAATATTAGCCTGTCTGCAAGAGTATTTCAGGGGAACCGACAGGAACCCAGAAACTCAAAAAAGAGCCCAACAACTCCAGTTCAAAAGGTACACCAATGAAGAACCTCGTAGCTCCCATGAACATGGTCATGGATACATTCCAGGTCCAACGCCACGAGGCCGAACCCCAGATGGCCCGGATCCTAAGAGGCTGAGTTTCCCAGCCCAGACGAGGTTAATATAGGCCTTAATAATTAGAATAGGATTCCTTTTAGGGTTCCATTAAGAATTAAAGGGTAGGTATAAGGGATGTATAAGGGTACTATAATATTAATATAGGGGCCTCAATAATTAGAATAGGGGTTTTTGGGCCCATTATACTGTAATGAGGAACCCCCACAATGGTATAGGTATTTAGTAATTATAAGGCTCCTATAACAACCTGTTCAACTATGGTGGGGTTATATAAAACCCCCAAAATAGGTTAACGGTTACCTACTCAGATACCAAGGATCAGAACCCAGTTCCGGCTGCTGCGCTGTGCGAGGCCACATAGTGGGCAGAACGCTTGATGGGGACGAGGCGCGAAGAGGCGAGAGCGTGAACAGTTTGCTTTCCGATATACGAAGCTTTAGTCTGATTGAACCTTCGACTGCATTTGTCAAGCTTTTGCTCCAAGAGCTGCGTCAAGCCAGCAACATGCAGTCCGTGCAGCTTCAGTAGGTTTGACTGACAGTCTATATGGGTGCAAAGGCGCAGCCCTGCCACAATCTTCGGGAATGGTCATAAGACTAGCATGTGTGTGGTTCATTAAGGCCCCTTTTAGGCTCCTCTGCTATACGGATCCCGCCTGCCTTTGTTCCTGAAAAACAATTTGAAGTTGATGCTTTGGTTTTGAGGCTCGGGTTTTGGCATGTTTTGGGCTCAGGGCTTGGAGGTTACTTAGAGGATCATGGGACTTAGTAAGTAGGTTATAACTGGGGTTATAAGTCCCCTAAGTGGGGTTATCCTAATTATAACCTACTTATAACCCTACTTACTAAGTCCCATGATCCTCCCAGTAGGCTTTCCCTAAACCCTAAACCCTAAACTTTGCGACTCTTTTGGGGGCCAGGGAGACAGGAACTCGGGCTTGGAAGGGAGGAAACTGGAGAGCCGGCATCGTCCCAGCCTTGACCCAAGGAAAGACGTGCGTGTTAGTTCACCTTCTTGAACCTCATCATGATAGCTTCTGATACCCTGAGCGGGGTTAGGGTTTAAGGGTCCTGAATCCGCAACCCTAAACCCATGACACTTTCTGATAGTTCCCCCCCAAATCGAGCAGGGCAAGCCCTCATTCATGTTAACCTATCGCCTCTAGATCCGGCACAAGCGATATCTGACGAAGGCACTATCCAAGAACTCCAGGAAGCTCTGGTACTGGGTGCCAAACTGCCGCCGGTGACATATTGATAATTCATAGCCTTGGCCCGTGGGTTTAGGCTTCTGCATAGGCTCTACGGTCTCACTCCCACATCCCTGCCCAAAGCACATCCTATCGCCGGTACAGCTCCGGAACTACCCGTGGCTTTCTCAACCAGTTTCGAGCTCATCAGATGATGTCTCTAGCTCTGGCTTATTGCTGAGGGGTTTACGCTAAGTTACCATAACAAGGATCCACAAGGGCTCCTTGAAGGGCTTAGGCTTTCAGGTTTAAGGCACCAAACGTACCATAATACGGATGTACTTACAAAGCCTAAACGCCTAAACCCTTGAATCGTTTTTGAAGTCGGCAAAGGCAACGCGGAAGCTACCCTGAGCCGAGGCCCTATTTCCAAATCTAAGCTCTGTACCATTCTGAACGCTGAAACCCTGAAACATGGCCTCTTCACGCTACACCCTAACCACCAAAAAGACACACCCGAAATCTGCACGTCTCTCCTTCAGCCTAAACTGCAAATCCTCAACCTAACCCTGAGCCCTGAAACCCCTGCTCCCAAACCCGTAAACTCCTGGAATAATAACCTTGAGCCTCAAAGGTTGAGTCCAAAAGAACTCGGTTTTAAGAAGGGCTAATTCGGCTAATTATAAAGGGTTCCTAATATGTTTTCTAATGACAGTTGCCTTGCTTCTGAATCCGACTTATCACTGCGATCGTCTACCAAGCAGGACGGCACAGATCATTCTAGTCTTGAAGTTCCTCAATAATTTACTATACTCAAAGAGCCTCTATACAAATCAAACCCTACACCACGCCAAACGCCCCAAAAACCCTACAGATCCTAAACCCCAAAATCCGCAAACCCTGCAAACGCCACACACTCCAAGATCCACGCCGTTCGGAGCCACATGAAGCTGAGAACCTGGCTGGTGACTCTCCTATAGTGAGTTTAGGGGTTTTGGGATTACGGCTTAGGGTTTTAGGGTTTTAGGGTTTAGGGATTTAGGGTGTTTATTTCTACTTGTCGGGTATCATGGGGAACTAAAGGTTAACCTTTTCGGTTATATAGGGACTATATAGAGACTATACTACCCCAAAAAAGGTTAAAGGTCACCTACTCTACTACTAGGTCCTCTCAAACTCCAGGAACCTGCCCTAAGCCTCAGTCCACCCAAACCCTATACCCTAAACCCCCTCAAAACCCTGAATCCATCTGAGAGTGTAGAAGGTTCTGCGTATAGGGATCAGGACAACGAAATATCAAGAGGAACTTGCTACTTGTGGATTAAGCCGCAGACTCTGCACGCGAGCATCGGGAAAGGCTTAGAATTCAGGGCTTAAGAAGGGTTTTAGGAGATAGGGTGTTTTGCCGGGTGACGAATCTGCGTTTACGTTCCAACCCCACCAGGAATTGGACAATTTCAGGGGATGAAGCCGAAGACTTCCATGGACCTAAAGCACAATAACATAGACTGCGCATACAAATCGACAACGTGCTGTTGAATTACTAGCGATAAGCGGGTGGCATCGGTTCAGCTGCAAAAGATAAACCCAATCGAAAATGTCTGTCGACCCCGACAGGTTAAACTCGGATGCCTGCAACACGCCGGCCACGAGCCCCGCCACACCTGCCGAAGCAGCTCGACAGATCTTAATCTTGGGCCCTCAGCCCTAAATCCTCTTAACACCCCGAAGCGGAAAAGAACCCTACCTATAGTCTCCATTGTAGCTCCTTTTTGGGGTTACCTTTTAGGATCCCTAATATACAACCGGTTAAACCAAAAAACGGAACTACAATGGAGACTATAGGTAGTTGCTGAATTCGCTGGCCCAGCACAGCTCAATCTTTGATGGGGGTTCAAGATTCTTGGGGTAGGGAGTCCTTAATGTGAACCCTATTATGGTAACCCTGATCCCTACTAAACCCCCATAGGCTAAACCCCCTTTTGGCCTCCTATGAATCTTTGGATCTCATGTGGGAGTTTCCGAAAATAGGGGACCCTAATATAGCACCCTAAATAGTAGGATCCATATTATAAGGAGCCCTAAATAAGGTACCCCCCAATTTTCGGATTCTCCCATGTTAACTAACCTCACAGGCCCGACAGGCTGGCGGTTAAAGCTTAGCTTCTCAGCCGCTAATCCTACATCCAGGATCTTGAAACCAAAGCAAGACTTAAAATGGGCGCCCTAATAATTAGAATTGGGTTTTTAGGCTCATTATCCTATAACTAGAATAAGGACTCCGCAAAATTAGTGCTGGTAAATGTTCAGGCCCCTATAGTAGATGAAGTGGCGAGAATTAACACCCGGAGTCAGAATGGCCTTGCGGATTCCTAGCACCCCTAGTCAACAAGCCGCCCACATGTGGAACACCGAAAACGGCTGTACCTGCGGCCTTGGCTATGCAAGTGTTCGTGTGATGAGAGGCCGATAAAATTCAGTAGGTTTCAAGGGTATACTTTATTGGAATCGTAGGACGTAGGATGGAAGCCCCAAAAGTATTGGTCATAGTTTTGAGGCGCCTATATTCTGGTTTTCTGCGGGGGTTCATCCGAAACAAAGCTAAACTTAACCCCAAGCCCCGGAAACATTGAAGCCACCTCCTTTGGCGGCACTGCTCATCGCCTGGATCGGCGGAGCTAGTGGGTTGCACTTTGAGCATCAGATAGTACCGGCTCTCAAGCACTTAGGACTGGGCCTTATTCGTTTGTACTATCGTCAAAAAACAGGAAAACTAAACACAAAGCATGGTGAGGCTGTTGAAACGTGCAGATTTTGGAGCACCCAAACAGACAGTTACCACCTTCGTCACTGCGGGTCGGCCCACTTACGGCTACTATTCGGGCACTAAAAAGGATTTTTAGAGGCACAGTCTGTGGACGATCTCTGGGCCGCGGGGCCCTCCACATACTCAAGACAACACCACCGCAATCATTCTAATTACAAAGCTGTCCGGGTTTACGCATGTGTAATCATGTGTATAGACACAGGTTTCAGGACCTTGGCCCAAAAAGGCATATGCTTGTTACTGCGGGATGGGATGGTTCCTACATGTCTATAGCCTGCAAGGATACAACTTGCATACTTAGCTCCTGGTATGAAGTATAGGGCTCGGAAATCGATTCTAATATTCTCTGCCTGTGAGTTATGCCAGTCGTGGCTTTCCTGCGTATGCTCTGGTCTCTGACATCTTCGCACACATGGCTACTGGGCGTGACTTAGAATGCTATGTAGTTGACTCTCATGCCACAGAATAAATCCCTAGAGGGTCCATGCATACTACTACTATGGACATATGTCCCAAAAACCATATAGCAAGGATAGCCACATTTCCATCATGGTAGTCTATATGGACCCTCTAGGTTCT